ATACTTAACAACTTTGCTAACGCTACCAGTAGCATTTTCACAATATTTTAAAAAAAACTATTGAGTATATTTGCTTGACATTTTCATGGTAGTTAAAGAAATAATTATATCAGACAGTGTTTGGAAAAAAGAACAACATACATTTCCGTATTTAAATTTGAAGATTTTGTATTTTATTTGAGCGCAGCCCCCACTTTACAAAAAAGCAAAAATCATCGGATAAATACAATTACTATTACAATAAAAGTCGTTTTTATGAAACAGACGTATTACTGATTTGCGGTGCACGTTCAACATTCTTGCTACCTGAAAAGTGTACAAAATTTGCAGGCTACTGAAAAATGTCTTAAGTTTTATTTAATTTCTTTTTTAAAAGTCTTTTTGTTCGAAAAGGAAATATAAGTAAACGAACACTTAATACATTGCAACTCGCACCAACTTCGATCAGAGCAATCGCTCTTGCACTTTTTTGGTTTGACAGTTTCCAGTTAGCACATGTTTCACTTTCACCGCGCCTGTAAAAACAAGTTCTTATAAAAATAAATTCAATGCCTACATGAGCAATTAAACATTCTTTAGGGGTGGGATAAATGTAAAATCACATTAAAATATAATAATTACAGACATTATAAAAAAACAAAATTTAATTTATTTTAAATGCAAGAACACAATTTATAATAGTAAGTATTGAATAGTTGGCTAAATTTGCGACTGTGAAAAACGGAGTTTCGCTGGATTATTAATAAAAATCTGTTATTTGTAGACCTATCGTATTGTAAATTATATATAACACAATGGCATCTGAATTAATCTATATTTCCAGAAAATATTATTCAGTTCCTTAAGGTAATGTTAAAGCAATTGCGAAATTGCTACTGCGTTAGGAAAGTTGTTTAGTGTATATATTATTTTAGTAAAATTGCAATCTTGCCACGATATTCAATATCCACATGTACAGTAGCATGTATACGGCGCACGCAGATTTTTTGCGTTAAATGTTAGGTTACATATATCTAAGATCATGAATTAATAGACGTGAGAAAACTCAACTCATGAATACATGAACGTGAGAAATCTCAACTCTTAAATAAATGGACGTGAGAAATCTTAACTAATGAATAAATAGCCGTGAAAAATCTCAACTCATGAATAAATTGACGTGAGAAATCTCAACTCATGAATAAATGGACGTGAGAAAGCTCAACACATGAATAATTAGACGTGAAAAATCTCAACTAATGAATAAATGGACATGAGAAATCTCATTTCATGAATAAATGAACGTGAGAAATCTCAACTCATGAATAAATGGACGTGAGAAATCTCATTTCATGAAAAAAAAGTCGTGCGAAATCTCAAATTATGAATAAATAGACGTGAGAAATCTCAACTAATGAATAAATAGACGTGAGAAATCTCATTTCATTAATAAATAGACGTGAGAAATCTCAGGTCATGAATAAATGGACGTGAGAAATTTCAACTCATGATTAAATAGACGTGAGAAATCTCAACTAATGAATAAATAGGCGTGAAAAATCTCAACTCATGAATAAAAAGACGTGCTTATGAATACATTGTCGTGAGGGAGAAATCTCAATCAAAGAATAAATGATGGTGACAGAGAAATCATAATTGATAAATGAATAGACGTGAGAAATCTCTTTTCATGAATAATATGATTGACAAATTGCTAAACGATGCCATATTTCTGCTGAGATGCTTATGCTATTATGTCAACGTTTGACGTAATCTCAATGTTCGTTTTCATCAAAAGCAGGACTTTTTTATTTTATGCGCAATGAGAAACACAAAATGGAATTTCGACTGTTTTATTGACGTGCTAGGAACGAGACCCGTTCTAAACAAGAAGGCGACGCTTAATGACCGTTTTATCAACATCTATTTTATTATTGGTGTCGAAAGTTTTGTTATATAAAAAGTGTTTTTAGCCTGATGTTTCTGCGACGTCGCAGTCTTTTATTCTTTTATGTAGACAATTTTTCATGTAGACTAATTAACGTAAGACACAGTCTGGTCAGTATGTGATTTTAAGTCACATGTATCAAACTTTACAGCAGAAAGCAGACAAGAGGGTCACGACGGCCCTGTGCCGCTCACCAGAAACAACTGTTTTTCAAATGAACTTGCCGAAAGGAAAGTCCAGCTTAACTTCAACTTACCCATCTAGTTCTATAGTTTCACAACACTGACTGGCTTTTTTTCTTCATAATAAACAAGATGGCCATAAATCACTTATTGTTCAGAATATAAATTGAAATATCTTGTCCAAATATTATGGAAAGGCTTTGTTAAAAATATCAATGTTGTTTTTTTTTTCGTCAACGAAGGTCTAACGTACACTCCGAACTATTTGTTATTTAACGACAATTTCGTTAACGAATGTTTTAGGTTATAGGGTAAATAACTAACTAGAGCTTAACAAAGGCTTAACGATGATCGAGTGCTTCTAGTTACTAACACCAGTCGGATTGTTCTTTTTTTCGCGAAAATAATTTCTGTAATGTTATATTTTTTCTTGTTGTGTGGTGTTGTGTTAATTTCTATTAGCTTCTCATTTAACTTTTTTTATTTCCAAAAGTTATATCTGTTAAGTTCGTACAATTATACTGAATACTTAACGGAATGAATACATGTACACAAATTGTTTCAAATATAGTTCATTTAGCACGAAATACTCGTGCACTGCACAAGTGCTATGACTACTACATACCATACACTACACATACAACATAAAGAATATTATTACCGGTATATATAAATTATTAGATAATAGATAATAATTAGGTACAAAACTAATATTTTGCAATTCATTTGCATCTCTAGTAAAATTGAATGAAAAATAGGGAAACGAAAAAAAAGTGGAAAAGTTAGACAACTTGTGAGACTCGAACTCGTGAAAAAAAAACTTAAATCGTTTTGGATCCAAATGACTTTACTAACTTTATTTAAAATTCTTTTTGTTATCTTGTACAATTTTGGCCTTCTTGACAAAGATTGTAAACTTTTGTGTACACAAAAATACAACGTCACTCTCACACAGTCATGGGCACAGTGTTTAAACAAACACAGTGTAATCTTTGATATTGTAAATTAACGAATGTACTGTTGTGATATCTCAAATTGAATATTCCATTCAAAAATTAATGTCACTTGAAATAAACGACACGTATCTTTTATTTATTCTTTTGTTCTCAAAATTTCTTATTTAACTTTTCGATTCACACCTGAAATAAACACGATGTGTCAATCAGTACGAAAACTCATGTACTTGGGGCGGTGATAAAAATAAACCAATCAGAGAGAGTACCGAAACGAAATTCCCCTAACCACGTGATCTATTTTTAGGATAGGCCATCTGTCAATCAAATGCCCCTTTGAAAAGTTATTGAGTGCAGTTCCCACGGTCTACGCAATTAGACTACTTTTTTTTCTCTTTTCGATCAAACGGTACTAAACATCAATTTATTGTTTATTTATTATTATTTTGTTAAATAAACGCAAACTAAAAACTATATTTTTTAAATATGATATATCAGCTTACAAACATAAATTTATATTGTTGTCCTCTATGTTATATACCTATTTTTCATAGTGACCAATTTCTTTTATATGTTTACATATTTGATTTGCTCATGTTTTTGTATACTATACAAACTGAGTGTTATTGTAAATAAAATTGAAATTGATATCTCAAGGAAAATTAACTCTATTTCTACAAATATGTTTGACAATCATAATCATTTAAAAATGCTCATGGTTGTAGAATTACAAACAAATTCTTGTGAACATTTTGTACTTTCGGTTTCTACAACCATTACATTTAGTATAGAAATAATGTACTGTTATATATAGAAATTTACTTAATTCATGTGGACTTTCACTCAATAAATACTAAGGCCCCGTTCATACCTATCCAAGTCCATATTCTCTTGTATTGGATAATGTAGACACCCTACTTGAATGGGTTTTGACAAGAAATTATGTGAAATCCATGAAGATAATTTCTTGCAAGAAAATTAGAACACGTTCTATTTTTCTACAAGTTTTTGGCTTACAAGACACTGATAACACCGGTTTGACACAAAACATGTGCCCCATGTGTGATATTGTTGTTATTTTAACTATATTTAGACTTTTTTATGCCCCCACAATGTGGGAGCATATAGCGTTGCACTTGTCCGTCCGTCCGTCAGTCCGTCCGTCCGTACGTCCCGAAATCTTGTGAACGCAACTCCTCTTAAACCGGATGGCAGATTTTTGCTTAAACTTACAGGGATGAACAACCTTAATGTGTAGATCGTATTAAGGAAGGAATTTTCGCTGCGACCAAATTTAACAGAATTATGGCCCTTTGTTGATTTTTTCACTAGATACTATGTAGAAATTTTGTGAACGCAACTCCTCTTAAACCGGATGGCAGATTTTGCTTAAACTTACAGGGATTAACAACCTTAATGTGTAGATTTTAGTAAAGGAAGGAATTTTTGCTGCGACCAAATTTAAGAGAATTATGGCCCTTTGTTGATTTTTAGTTTTCAACTTGTGGCACATGTAGTCCAAAAAATATTTGACCTAGAGTCATAAGATTGACAGAACAGTGGCGTGTGGGGGCATCCGTGTTCTATGGAACCATTTCTAGTTTGTTGTCGATTCAGTGTACATGACCTGTGAATTTAAGCTTATGTTGACACTGTCTTGGTCAAAGGAACAAATCGATACACTGATACACAGAAGAGCAAAAAAAATCTGTTTATCAAAAGTATAAAGTACAATTAATATATTTTAATGATCTTTTTTCATTTAATGAATACCTTTCATCAAATGAGATTTTGCTTCAATTTATAATTCAAAATATTTTTATTACACATTTTATTTACTTCATTGATTTATAGCTATTTGCATCATTTTCCGCTTCTTTTATTCACACATTTTATGGAAACATGATAGCATTGCAAAGACAACATGATTCTTACTATCTTGGGAAAAGCCGAAAAGATTCGATTGGAGGGTTAATTTTATAGTAATCATAAGATCATGAATGTACTTTGTAATATGATGTATACATGTATATATGTGCAATAAACCATTAACAACGTTTCGGTGTAGAAAGAGTCGATATAAGTTTATAGTAAACACATACAGGCCGACCCATAAAAGTGTAATGGATATTTTGATTTACACGAGACATAACAAAATACGGAAAATTGAGGTATGCACTTTTCTATAAATGTAAACGATGATAATGTTTCGAAAAATTTATTAAACTTTGTTCTTCATAAACATTGAATTTAACTTAATCTTTGGGCAATATGGTTGCGGAAATGATAAATTAAATGTACAATAAAAATCTTGTTCCATAACGATGTTAATACCTGGTTATATAGTTTTTTCTGCCAGTGTCCAACGATAAATGATGAAGGTACAGCAGAATCTCAACTTAAGAAACAGTTCAAAACTTTGTCTTTACAAGTAGATCGTAAAATAACTCAAAAAGTAAAACAAGTGAGATGTTTTAACTTGGTTTAAGAATAGAGTTTATCAACTTTTTTTCATTTTTCATCTTGGTGCTGTGGTAAAAAAAAAAGAAAAATGTTGTGAAACGTTGTTATGTTTATAATAGCAATATAAAGCGTATTGAATACGATTTCTATGTTGACAAGTACGCAAAGTTTAGTTTGAGTCCCAAATAATGTTACAACTCGGCCTATGATATGCATGAGAGGTTGTGGGGAATTTACACATGTTTCAAGTAGGTGTATCTGAAGCGTGACTTCTGAAAATGTTTTATTTATCAATGAAACATATGTCTGAAGTTTTTAAAACAAATAATTTCACTTACATTCAAAATATTTTGCCAATATAATAGTACTATTATACTAATATTTATACACAACCACGTCCAAATAAAATATATCTCATAAATATATATTTTTTTCACGTTTTGAGTGTACAATTACATGATGTGTTCGACTGGGAATATTTTAGCTGTCGTTTTTCATCCATGATATATCATGAAATATGTTTGCTTTAAATATAGAAAAAATATATGATGTTACTTATTTTTTTAACTCTTAATTTAACCTAATTCCATTGGTTAAAATGCGTCATGACTACGATTTACATAATGTTTTACATATAATTGTGGTCTCATGGATACAAATATATCAAGTTCTAAAAGATTAAAAGGTGCAACACATTTGAAAAACTTAAGAATAACTATATGTATGACCGTATTTTTATCATTACAAAGCTTTTGAACATTTCTATTTTGATAATGAAGAAAATATTTGTCAAAACTTTATTGAACGATTTAGGACCAATGTTTACTTTTTGAAAAAATGAAAATACCGATAAAGTCGCTATAAGTAGGTAAGGGTTGTCAAAATTCAGTTTACACCGCGGCATATCCAGCGATAAAAATTATTTATTATAGATCGCAAATGACTAATAGGCAATATTTGAACAATACAAAATTAGTTGTAACAAAATGCCTGTAAGATAGGTTGCTGCACAAACATAGGTTTTTTTTTATTTTACTTTATTTTTTTTAAACATTTTTCATCAAGAGATATATTTACGTGTTGAGATTAAGTCCTGGCTTAACATACATGCTTAATTTTATGGTGTGTGTGTGTATGTATCACAATATTCTTACAATTTATTATACACTCAGTCAGTCCTTATGCCTTATATTGTTTTACTGCTCCCTTGGATCTTTACAGCCAGAGCCCGTTCATGTCAGAAAAGACCGTTTCAAGCTTTCTTTGATAATATGCAATAATCTTATTGAAAAGAGATGTGCAAATGTTTACATTGATATTATTTGTTTAGTAAGTTGACGATTAAATTAAGGAAACAAATGTGAAATTAAAGTGAAATTAAAAACAAAATTCTTCATCAATAACGCGTCTTCTATTTTCTTGTTAAAACATAAATAAGATGTTTAACGATATGATAATTTTTTTCATTAGTTGCTATTTGTGTAAAAATTAAAATTAAATAGTTTTTATATCCGTATATTTGTGTTTTATCTGAGACGATTTGATAATAAAGTATATTTGTTATTACAGTGTCTTTTGTACAATAATTTTAACGAAATTGTTCATTTCAATGTACATTTTTGTTGTTATTGATAAAATAGCCTTTAACATACATATATAATCAATAGATTGTTGCAAAGTTTTCCATTTAAAGGATTACAATCTACATAAAAAACAACACAAATAATGTGAAAATTTATTTTAATATCAAACAGTTGTGTGTGAACTATCTTAAAAAAGCTATGATCAAAATGCATTATTACTTAATAAAGCAAACTCCACTTGTCCTTAACGTCATAGGACAACCTAAACAAAGTCCAATCATAGCATATGCGAGTATCCGTCGGAGAATTCCAATCTGAAATGCAAACACAGGCCAGACTTTTTTCTTGCTTTTTCTAGAATATAATATTAGTTTAACTGAGTCAATATTTTTTCAAGAATGTAAATCCGTTTCAGCGGTTGCTATTTCCTAACATATCTAACCCTTTTTTGTTGACATATGCACGCAATTTCATTCGGAAACGCGCCGAAATGACTTCATTTTAAAGCATTCGACACATCTGGCAGATAAAATTTTCAGCATTGGTAAAACTAATGTAAATACCAGCCTTATATTGCAAAACAAAATCTGTTTTCAACGCATATATCTTATATCTACTTAACAGAGACAGCAAGTTGGAAAACTACTTTTTGAACTAAATTTCAAAAACTGCATAACTAAAAGTATTACTCAAATTCTATAGGGATTGCTTTTTATTTCTTGAATATTCTTAAATGGTTGAAAGTATTTTTTCTTACATGTAGATTATGTAGATTATTCTGACGGCGTATCCGATCTGTCCAGTATATATTGATTTGAAACTTGTATATGGCGTGATATCTACGAATAAAGTAATACCTAAAGAAAGCGTGTGCCATCAGCATGTACCTTCATGTACACATTCAAACTTTGCTTCTGTATAGTAACGTTTGAATCTCGCATTGATTGGTATTGCTTTCGTACGAATAAGAGGTTTCTTGATGCCGAAGACGAGTAGGGAAATAAAGTAGAAAAGAAAGTAGGGGGCATGTGGCATGTATCCTGGGGGTGTCCAAGAGTAATGTTGCAAGGATGTTGGAACTGTTTCAAACTGAAGGAAATGTCACCGATACGCATGGTGGTGGTCGTGAGAATGTCACAACTCGACGAGAACATTTTATTGTCGTCCAAGTGCGACGTAAACACTTTATTACGGCTTCTACCCTGCAAAATGGCTGTCATAATGTCAATAACATAGCAATTGTTTTATATCCAAACGATCAGAAACCGTCTTCATATAGCTGATATAAGAACCAGACGACAAGCAATCTGCATTCCGTTGATGCGAAATCACAGTCAGTCTCGTCACAATTGGGCGCGCGCTCACGTCAGATGAACGTTGAATGACTAGACCACAGTACTATTTAATAACAAATATATATTTTGTGTAGACTTCATTTATAGACGAGTCCAAATATGGAGATGCTACCCATGACCGTTTAAGTGTGGTATATGCATGCAGGGAAAGAAACTTTTATTTATATATTGTTCAAAACGGCACATTGCAATTGACAGCTGCACGATACATCAATTACATTTCAGATATGTATGTCCGCCCATATGCCGGTGCTATAGGTCCTTATTTCAATTTGATGCCCTTCCGCACAGGGCACGGGTCACCAACGAGTACCTAGAGACAGCAATTATAGAGGGAATATACTGGCCAGCAAGGCCCCTAGACTTTGAACATACCTGGGACATGCTGCAGACCACAATATCTGCCTGACAAGTCCTACGGTTTTAGAGTTTCAACGGGCACTTCTGGGCGAGTGAGCTCGAATACTACAACACAGCATTTGAAGGCTTTTTAGAAGTATGAGATTTCGATGCCGAGCTGTAATCCAATCAAATAGTCACAGTAGTATATGCGTCGGGTTAAAGTCACGTGCCGCGCATGCATGGCGGCCATCTTAGATAAGAGATACTTCCGACGTCCATATTGGTCAGTAGGAGCGGCTGTCATCTTGAACTCTAATTTTAACGAATGACATTTATTTTAAGGTCTCCCGAAAGCATACAGAGCTGACTTTTATACTCGATCTACAGCTTGTTCGCGTCCATTGAGGGTCAGGGACTCGGCTCTAGACGGAGGAAAATGCGTTTTCACGCACGAGTGATTTTATGTACAATCGATCATAAGCGCTCGATAGAACGTCTCAATTTTACGCGATTTTACTTAAACATAATAAATTTGTGCATGACTATGTATGAAAATACTAAATATTTTACGTCCGAGTGTTTTCACTTAAATGATTACCCGATGTTCATCCCTCCATGTCCAACTCATAAATGAAATGAAACTCAAGATTTTTTCCCACGAGTTACTGGTCTATTTTGAGTCGAGATCTATAGTAAAAATGTCTCAAAAACCTTCTTTAAATTACAATGTCTGGCGCTTGGGTATATTTTCAAAACACATCCACTTGTGCTCCTTTTCAAATGTTTTAGAAAACATGTCCCTGGGGGCGAAGCTGGTCCGTCATTCGGTGTTACTAAGTTTATAGAGAATTGTATAAGAAAAAAAACATCTAAGTTTCCTTTTATAAAACAATATTGCCAATAGCTTAGATATTTGGCTTCATATGCTTCATATTCATTTGCTTGTTCATTACATACGCGATCGTGTTTTGATAAAGTCGATTGCTGAACAGAAGCACATAAAAAATCGACAGACTGAAACCCAAGCTACATGGTCTCTAAAAAGTACAATATACAGCCGTCAGCTTGATAAAACACTCAGCCATTCATATAGTCTGTCACAAAACATTTATGCAACACGAAATGGCTGACGTCAGTAAATATATCATATTTCAAACTTTAAATAGTTTCTACTTTAATGAACCAATGTTTTTATGACAGGCGCAGTAAACATGCATTATAATTCGATCGAATAACATTTATATGAAGTTTAGAAGGCGGGGGCTCAGATTACAACACGGGGGACTACATGTTATATGTTATTTTGGTTTTGGAGTGATATATGTGGATATATTACCTGTTAAGATTTTATATCACCCGAGCCGTTTTATCTTGGCATGTAATATGTCCACATATATCACTCCAAAACCAAAATAATAATTTTATTAC